TTTGCTATAATTAAATCCTAAAAATGAGCCCTAAAAGGTGTCCTCCATTATCATTTTCATTTTAAAATTGAAGAAATAGAAGCTCAGAGTTCTCTGTCATCATGTCTTATTTTTACACAAATACCCAGTGACACCTAATTTTTAATGCAGAGTTGTTCCAGAGACATTGCTGCAATATCAATTTAGAAATGGGATTTTATTTCATAGAGTTTGCATCAAATATCTTTTAATTATTGAAAATAGTTACTCTGCAGACCAGCTAGCTTTCAGACATAGAAACCTAAGTAACTCTCAATTATGTTATCAAGTCAGATATCAGGATACAGGCCATGCCAACTTCTCCCTTTTTTGGTGTTGTCTCATTATATAGACTAGTAGAGAGCAACGTTTTATATATATATTTGGTTTTTCGAGGCAGGGTTTCCCTATGTAGTTTTGGTGCCTGTCCTGGATCTCGCTTTGTAGACCAGGCTGGTCTCGAACTCACAGAGATCCACCTGGCTTTGCCTCCCAAGTGCTGGGATTGAAGGTATGTGCCACAGTCACCCAGCTAACATTTTATATTGTTTTAAGAATTTCATACATGAGCATGGTATCACATCATTTTTACCCTTCTATCTTCCCATCCAAATCCTCCACTCTGCACCTCGACTCCTCAAATCCGTGATCTTTCTTCTTAATTACACACACACACACACACACACACACACACACACACACACACACACATGCATACATATGCATGTGTGCTCATAAAACCATTTAGTAGTAATGCTTACATGGACACATGTTTAAGGATGATCACGTAGGTTTGGGTAACTTATTTCAAAGTTTGCCCCTGGAGAAGACTATCTCCCTCTTTCAGTAGCCATTAGTTAGTTGCCTATAGCTTTTCATCTAGGGATGGCATCCTGTGCACTCTCCCCATCCCTGGTTGCGTATCAGTCAGTGTTATCATTATGCAGGTCTAATTTAGGTGACTATATTTGTGAGATTTCATTGTGCAGCTCCCCTGTCATATGTAGAAGACATTCTCTGGCGACAGACATCTTGGTTCTCTGACTCTTACAGTCTTTCTGCTCCCTCTTCTGCAATAACCATACTTTACAGTAGCATAATATTTTTCAGTGGGCACTACTGGCATATGGAGATAGGGCTTTCTTTTTGATGGCAGTACATTATATATTGCAAGGCCCCCCAACCTTCTATCTATTAAGCACCAATAATGACTTCCCCATCCCAATTTATGGTGTCCTGAGTGTGCAGGTGCCAGTAAACCCAAGAACCACTGTTCTAACGAAAGACTCAAGATACTAACAAGCCAGAAGTGCAAGGATTCATGTTATAAATATTTAATAAATGCTTACTCCACTGAGTGTAACTAAAATCGAAGCACTCAAAGAAATTGACAACTCTCTTGCTATAGATTTTAGACATTACGATTTTAGGTATAAAATAAATTATTAATGTGTTTCACAATTAAAAGCTAAAAGTCAAGAGCGTGAGCAACTGGAGCAATTGACTGAACCTGTTAAAAACCATTTCATATCAAACTGTGTTAGTTACTTCTGTTGTGGCTGTGAAAAACACCCAAGGAAAATAAATTAAAATCAGGAATGATTTATTTGGGCTGAAAGATTTCAGCCTAGCTCCATGTACTCAGACAGAATGTCCTGTTCCTGGAGCATATGAAAGTGGCTATTCTTTATCTCTTGGTGTGTAGGAAACAGAGAGAGACAGCAAAGGTCCAAGGATAAGATACCGCCCCCACCCCACCCCACCCCATCCCTTGCTGCAAGGGATTCCATTCCTCCAACTGAGTGCCACCTGCTAAAGTTTCTAGAAAGTTCCCTAATAATTCCACAAGCAATGAAACAGGCTATTGAAAACAAGCACTGTGAGGGACATTTTGTATGAAATCTATAGCAAGTCCTAAAATTTGATTCCCTATGAATGAAGAGAAATGATAAGGTGTGATTATCACATAATGCCCAATTTCAGCTGAATATGTATCCATATTCACTTTTATGGAGTTCTATTAGCTTTTAAATAAAGTGACAGTCCTTTAAGAAACAGACACTACAATAAACGAAAGACCTTAACTGTGGTAAAGAAACATAAAAAAAAGCCATCATGAAAGGTGCAGTAAGTTTAAGAAAATAAAAGTTGCTATTAGATATGACAGGTGTCACAACAGCACACAGTAATAAATGTAATCATAACAATAAAGTAGTATTTGTATTAGTTCTTTCCAAGGAGTTAAAATAATGAGCATCTTTTCTAAATTGGTAGTTTTTTATGGTGGTGTCAGAAAATAGTAAAAACAAGACAACATCTTGAAATGTGCAGGATATTTACCTTACTCAGAATCACTGATCTGGATATCTTCGTTTTTAGTTGCTTCTGTGGTCATTTCATTTATATCCTTTTACTCATTGTTCTGTGTGATTAACTTACTCTTTTTCTTGAGATCTAACATAGTTGAACCAGTCTTTCTTATTATTTGGTTTTAATAGATGCATTGTCAGCTAAAACTGTACTGTTTTAGTTTTCACAGCATATAATAAAATCTGTATTTCTTACAGTTAACTTTTTTTATTATAACAATATCATTTCTTTTGTGACTTTAAGTAGGAATGATATGTGCACATATAAGGTAATACGCACCTGGCATTCAGCGAAATGCCATCACTAGTGACTAGTGATTTCCAGAAAATGATGAAGCTCTGCAATACAGAAAATGCATGCTGGGGAGACCTTACACACAGGAGCTATTAGGGTTCAGTGATGAATACTCCATGCAGTCACAAGAAAAAAAAAGTTTTTCACTGTTCTTTGAAATTTTGACAGAATACTCTGGTCTACCCATGGATACTTGTGACACAGGTCTTAATGTTGAAAGTACTCCTGCTCTGCTATTAGTTCTGACCCAGGTACAAAGATATTTCCAACTTCAACCTATTTTTGGCAGAGAGATTTTTTTTAATTGAAAAATAGTATATTAGTTACTACTCGTCTTATTGATGTGACCAAACATCTGAGAGGAAACAAGGAAAGAAGAGTTTATTTGGGCTTACAGTTTGAGAAGGGACAGTCCCTCACAGTTGGGGAAGGCACAGCTCGGGTGGGATAAGCTAATCACAGTTCCTCCAGGGTGGACTGAAACTGGAGCCAAACTTCAAAACCTCTAGGCTCTCTCATAGTGACCCACTTCCTCAAGCAAGACTCTGTCTTTAAAATGTTCTGCAGTCTTCTAAAGCACCACTAACTTGCTGGTGACCTGTGTTTAAGGACACAAGCCTATAGAGGAAATCTTACACTCAAGCCATACAAAAGAAGAAAGTCTCCTCACAAACACGGCACTTGCTAAACCTCAGTACAGGACGAATCTCACTCTAGAACACAGCATATACAGTTCCTTACCCTAGTGGGCTCTCTAGAGGCCTAAATGAAATGCATGTCCTCAGTGAAATGCCCTTTCTGTGAACAACTAGAATTTCACTTTAGATTGGCCATCTGGATCACCGAATTCTTCCATTCACTAATATTTGGTGTATGTTAAACTCTCTTCAGAGTGATTGTATTATCTTCTAGTCGCTGAGACACTAATATTTAATGTTTCTACTTTAGAATGCTATTTTTCCAATTCATATACAAAAGATAGCAATCTTTCAAAGAAGAATTGGTTCATTGTTCATTTTCATTCCACAGTGAAGTTTATTCTTGTACTCTGTCAGTTCTGTGACATCACTTCACATCACTAGTCCTCAGTTTGTTAGTATGAAAAACATAGGTCTTTGATGGAAGTTCTTTTCTACTCTAATATGCTGTGGGATGTTCTGCATGGCAAATTGTTGCTCTGATTGGTCAATAAATAAAACACTGATTGGCCAGTGGCTAGGCAGGAAGTAGAGGCGGGACTAACAGAGAGGAGAAAAGAAAGAACAGGAAGACAGAAAGAGACACTGCTAGCCACCACCATGACAAGCCACATGTGAAGATGCCAGTAAGCCATGAGCCATGTGGCAAGGTATAGATTTATAGAAATGGGTTAATTTAAGCTATAAGAACAGTTAGCAAGAATCCTGCCATGGCCATACAGTTTGTAAGCAATATAAGCCTCTGTGTTTACTTGGTTGAGTCTGAGCGGCTATGGGACTGGCAGGTGAGAGAGATTTGTCCTGACTGTGGGCCAGGCAGGAAAACTCTAGCTACACTAATATCCACAGAGTACTGTGATTCATTTTGGGATTTGATCGATAATTTCTCACACATGTTACTGTGTGTATATTTATTGTGATATATATATATATATATATATATCACAATAAATATACATGTATATATTAAAAACATGCTATAAATATAAAATTCTGTGCTCACTTAGCACTGGTATTGATACTTCCAGAACAAAGAACTATTCTTTTTGGTGCAGCATGGGTTTCAGTTCCTATTGGGACAATTTTCTGCATATTTATCATTCATATGGGTATGGATAATGCAAATGATATTAGTGAAATGCATGCATGTCCATCTATCTCATCATTCCATGGCCTGGTACTTGGAACTAAATGCAGGTTTACAAATTTTGAACTGAGTGTAATAGTGCATAACTTATAATTCCGGTATTGGAGAGACAGAGGCAAGCAGGTTTCTATGAATTTGAAGCCAACCTGATCTGCTTAAAGTTCCAGGCCAGCCAAGGTTGCATAGGAATACCCTGTCTCAGAGGGAGAGAGAGAGAGAGATTTTATTATAACATTCTGTTGGTTCTAAATCCTTAATTATAACTAGCTAAGTAGAGCTTTCTTCAAAAAATAATAGAATTATCTTATAAATTTATGAGAAAAACTCTATCTCAACCATTTAATTTTATAACTTTCTTGTGAGGTTTATTACTTGTGAGGTCATTATTGATTATGAGTTTAATTGCAGGTAAATGGTCACTAACTTTTCCATGAATAAGCCTTTGATTAACATCAATTTTTATTTCTTCCAAGGATCCTTCCCAGCGATTGGAGTGGAAGCCTTCTGCCCCAGCTTCCTGAGGGCTGGGTTTTTAAACAGCATCCAGGCCCCACATCCAGTGACAGCAGGAGGATCTCTGCCCCCCAGGATTCCTGCTGGTAGGTACCCCAGGTACACTTCTCCATCACCATAGAAAGTGATAGAATTCTTCTCACAGCTGGTAGAGAAACAATTCAAAAACGAATACTTCTAAAAGACATTGAGAAGAAATGCAAGTGACTCTTTGCAATGCAGGAAGCATCTCTGTGATATCTAGTACTTGGAAAATAGAATCAATATGGGGTAAAAGGATTTGTACCCTAAATGCCTACTTAGTATAGGGTTTACATAAGCAAGGACTAGAGTGACCTTGTCACTTGGAGTAGACCACAAAAGAAAATTGAAAACTAAGTATGTTGACAGAAAGAATAATTAGACAAATCTAGAGAGGGTTAATTAAAGTTCCATTTCACTAAAGGAAAATGATTTGAAGAAAAGCCAGAAACCAAGAAAAATTTAAGATAGTACATTGAAATTCAGTCCTCTCTAAAAATAGTAATCTGACCAAAATTATGAAATAAGATATAGCATATCTCACATTCCAAACTTCAATTTTAGAATTTAGTGAAATTTTTCATGAGTTATTCATGGCATCACTAATCACAAATCCTTTCTTCCTGTCACTCAGTGAAGTCTAGCATTGCCTGTCATCTTCCACTAAACCCAAATGATGCAGATTTACCTTGCACTTTACATGAATGTTGACTCTTGACTTTTTAAATAAAAATTATTGTATATTTATTATAAATAATAGTAATGGTATAAATTATGCTATGTTGTAAGTGTATCCAAGAGGGCTGACCCACCCATCAGGGTAAAGGAACATTGGGCTGGAAATTCTAATTTTTAAAAAAATCCCAAGATGTACATCTGTTTGCTTTTCTTAGCGTAATGCCAACTATTCTTGCAATTATTCTGATATTTTACTCTTGCCTTTTAATTAATCTTAATATATATTAAGATTATCAATATATATAATCTTTTTTTTTTTTTTTTTTTTTTTTTTGGTTTTTCGAGACAGGGTTTCTCTGTGTAGCTTTGCGCCTTTCCTGGAGCTCACTTGGTAGCCCAGGCTGGCCTCGAACTCACAGAGATCCGCCTGCCTCTGCCTCCCGAGTGCTGGGATTAAAGGCGTGCGCCACCAACGCCCGGCTATAATCTTAATAATATATAAAATCAACTAGCAGTAAATATGCCTTAATATCATTTTTCTTATTTTGCCATGTGGTACTATGCCTAGAAACTTGATAGCTCACAGTAATATTGATAAAAGTAGAAACTAAAATGATGTAAGTTAAAAGACTTAGTAATTTTAATTCTGACGATGCTCTACCCCTTTTGTGTACAGAGAAACAGAACGGTGAGAATGACATGGGGAATTTTTATTGTTATTGTCAAAGATAAAGGAAAAAAACTTCATCAACTAAGCTCTCAGAACTAATGACTGGTGATGTAGAAAAATCACAGCCCTCACCTCAAACACAATGAGAAGTAGTTTAATACGGAAAGAACTATGAGTGACTTTAGCCCAAGGCTGCATATTTAGGTTGCTCAAATCCCAAATTCCAACAAGGTCACTGATTAAATAAAGTTTCTTTTAAGATTCATTTTATGTGTATGAGTGGTGTGTGTGTGTGTGTGTGTGTGTGTGTGTGTGTGTGTGTGTGTGCGCGCGCACGCATGCCTCATGAGTGTCTGCTGTTCAGAGGCCAAAGAGGGGGTCAGGTCTTCTGGAACTGGAATTACAGAGGGTTGGGAGTGCCATGTGGATGCTGAGAACTGAACCCGGGTCCTCTGCAAGAGCAGCAAGTGTTTTTAACCTCTAAGCCAATTTCTCCAGCCCCTCAAGAAGTTTCATAGTAACAAAACAAAGTCATAAATTGAGATAGTTTTTAAATGCTGTCAGTAGAAGCATTGGAGTAGCAGTTATAGCAAAGTGGGAAATGCCCATTAACCTCACATGTTAATTTGATAGTGTGCTTCACTTTTAGGTTGGTAGAAGGTAAGGGTCTGTTTTATATCCCAGAGGATTTATCTAGGTTCAAGAATACTAGGTCATACACAGTGTGGACAATAAAGAGTCACTGGCTAAGATAACTCAAGATACTTGGTTTGGACTTACAACATCCAACTTCTCTAAAGTTATAATGAGTCAATCAGCTCTGTAAAATGTTTGGTATAAGTGTGGTTTCTCTCTGGAAAATTGATTCACACTACAATTTTTAAAATGCAGCTTTAGTTTATGTAATTGATATCTCACTGGGGAGAATGGAGTAGATAAACACAATTAGTAGTTTAGTGGTTTAATCCTTAATGCTAGTGGAAATCTGGTGAATTTAGATGTATCTGTCAGAAATGACATTATGAAGTTTAACAGTGCTTTGAATTATTCAGCATTACTAGCAAAACCTTGAAATAGCCCTTGTCATTTAGCCACTGGGTATGACAGAAGGAAGATGATCTTTCTACAACACAAACACAAACTCCCTTCCAAAGAAGGATCTGAGAGAGAGCCCCAGCACTCTATTCTTCTAGGCTTGAAGCCAATTTGCCTCCAGCCTTCATAGGAGAAAAAACTCTGTTCCGTTTTCATGACTTACATACAAATCAGGTGAAACAAAATTGCTGCATGAAACATTTATAGATCTCAACTTGTTCCTGTTCCTTCAAACTGAAATTAACTCAGCTCGCTTTTCCTGACTCATAACCCTCTCATAAATGATCCCTGTACATTTCCTTACCTTACAGCTAAGACTGCCACATTTTCAAAGGTGATTTGTAATTTCTCTCACCCAACTCAAGCTAATTTCCTTCATAATCTTGAGTTACGAAGAATTATGCAGTCATCACATGAAGTTTTTATTGTTTCATACATTTAATATCCTGAAGTATTCCCCTGCCACATAATATCTGCAGGAATGTTCCTTCATGGTTAGGATATCAAACCAAGGATAGGAAGCATGTTCCTTTCCCATAGCTACCAGGATATGCCCAGAATCAGCTGAAGGATAAAGCCTGCTGGGCATCTACTAATTGATTATATGCCACAGAACTTGACATTCTCTCAAGACATTTCCTGTGTCATTGAAGAATTAGCAAACCTGTTCTAGGGCTTTTGCTAATTTGGTTCCTGTCAGTCAAACTTAAATGAGATATGCAGCTATATTCTGTCCTCTATTTTGTATCACATTCTGCTATTAAGTAACAGTTTTTGTACATGGCATTTACTTCTAACACATAACTTCAATCTTAGGACAATCACTAGATCATGAGACCCAGAAAATAGACAAGCTTGTCAGTATTTATGTAACAACCGTCAATCATTTGTGAATTTCTTATTTCTAGAAAGGTCAGTTTAAAGGGTTATTTTTCTGAGTCTAGAGTAGAGAAAAACAGTAGGATATATTGGCTAATGCTCAATAACATGGGAGCAAGTGAGACTTTTAAATGTGTAAGTTCAGAAAACAAAATGAGCATTGAAAATCTCCCCGGTGTTTCCTCTGTGGTTAATCTTAGAAGCAGATGCAACTCCATAGCACCTCTGTTTGTCTGTCTGTACCATGAGAATGACCCTTCTTTTTCCCTTCTCATTTCCCTTGGAGTGTCTCTTCATTGTGTGAGAGTCAAGGAAATGGCCAATCTGCTTAGACTCTTCCTCTGCTCACCTGGAACTGGAAAACAGTGTAAATGTGAACACACAGTGATTCCAAAACCAAATGTGCAGCTTCTAGGTATATAACTAGTAGTATTTAATATCACTTGTCTATTTTCATAGAAAGAGATTTTAATCATTCTTAAATTCAAAGATCCAAACCTTTCTATGTCTGCTTTCCTGACCCTTGGCTAGTCACAATAGCAAATGGGTTCACAACCAAGCTTTGTGTAAGTCACTAACATTCCAGCTGCACCATTTTCACAACAAGGGATTCACAGTCCTGAAATATTACAATTTCTTCACAGCCTATTTAACAAATATCATGATCTTCCTTTCTCTGCTTCATGTGAAATACCATCTGATATGGAGTTTGGGAAAATTTTGTTTGCATTATTATTATTCAGCCTAAAAAATGGAAATATACAGTTTAGGTGTTAAAATTAGACTAGGTAAGTTTGAAGGTGCAGGAAGTCTCATGCCTGGTGATGATGATGTTCTTAGCTCTGGGCCTGTACAGAGGATGCAGAAAGTAAACAACATGAATGATGGTGACTAGGTGGCAGGTTTGAATGGAGTAAATGGTATGTTAAGGAAATTTAACATTTGTTCAAACTCAGTGTACCATGGGAAATCAACAGTGGAAACGTATACATTAAATTTTAAATGTGATCAAACAACAGTTCAGAAAAATCAAATTAAACCATTTGATTTCTTCATGTTTTCAGGCATGCTAAAGGGGGTGGGCAATGACTTTGGCCTGAAACGTTTCAAACCCAGTCATGTATGTCAAACCAACATCTATTAGAAATAGTTATTCCAATGGTGATAATTAATGAATTAGTTTTCCAAATAGCATTCAAAAATTGCCTTATTTTAATAAAATATCATTGTATTTAGTATAAATACTCCTTACAGGATACACTTTATAAGTAGGAGATCTTCAAGATGAAAAACTCCTATTATTCCATTGAGGTGTGTATCTGCTGTATATTTTGCAGTTGCAAATATTGCCATTTACCCAGGATTAATTATGGGTGAGTGTGTCCCTATGCCCACTTAGATCAAAAGTTGAAGGGAACTGTAAAAAATGAAAAGTATGGGAAGTTCCAAATAAGCCATTCAAATGCACTGTAGTAAAAATATACCCCCTCCTCTGTAGGCTGTCTATAAGTCTTTAACCCTCCACACACTTCAGTCCCTACTCGAGAGGTGTTTGTCACTCTTTTCTAAAGGATTCTCCTTCTCTAAAATTTTTACAGCTGCCAGCTTTAGAAAAAAGCCAAAAGAATGGTATTTAAAAAGGGAAACAAAGTTGCAGACTCAGGCAGATCCAGGCAGGCAACCATGATTACTGCTGTCTCTGGTAAGAGATCATTGAGGGACAGGGTCACAGACAGAAAGACC